TCGGAAAAAACTATCGGATAATCGGACCAAATTAATATGTCATCAGAACTTTGTAGCGGTTATATGAAATAGACATTTATGAATCAGAATATTTGGAGTCTGATTAAATTTCACCTTCTGTGAAATTGGAGGTAAAATATTGCTTCGTACATAAACGTTCGAAGCGAAAATTGGAAGTCCCCATAGGGTCCGCGCCACTCTCCGGCGCGCATTCTTCAATTCGTAACGTGAAGCAGCGCGCGAACCAGTGTTTTCATTAAACCTAAAGTTTCGTCCTCGAAATTATTTTAGTGTCCTTGCTGGGTAGGCCATGCAGCAATTCTTTTTAAGACCAGTACAATGATAAACAACATGGATTACACAACCGTAAAAGACAAAAACGAACACACGTACCACACAATTTGTGAGGTGTGAACGGCACTTATGGTGCATTTACGAGTCTATTCAGTTCTTCTGGACGGGTTTCCTTCATTTCGGTCACGTGAGTACAGCCAATGTAAATGGTAACCAGTGAAAACATGACTGCCTTGTCCCCGCGCCCTTAACGCTGCACCGCTGGTGCGCGTGGCTGGCCGGCTGCGGCGCGCGGCGGCGGCCCGGGTCCGGCTGCGCTAGACAAGGCGCAGAGACATTTTCCGAGTGAGAATCAATGTATAAAGTGCGGCTTATATTCCGAAAATTACGGTAGGCCTACATTAAAATTATATATTTATATAAAAAAAAAACACCACCAACGAGCGGATCTGGGAAGCGAGCAAGGGGGTTCGTTTGACCCCTCCCCGCCTACGGATCTATACCTAGCAAGAAATGAGACCGAGGGGTACCCCCCCCAACATGTCCAATCCCTATACACACTCCAGACTATTGTTACNTTCTCTCCGTCTCATACCTTGCTGCATATGTACGGGCCTGTAGTAGCAGCGGATAACGGAAGCTATTGTCAAGATGTACTTTGCGTCGGGGAGTTGTGTGGTCGAGGAGCCAGTGTTGTCAAGTCAATCTGAAGTCCAGTCACAAGTCCTTTCAAAAGATTTGTCTTAAGTAACAGGGTGAATAATGACAAAGGATTGCTTTATTTCTCATAATTCATTTTGAATAGCTTGTGTCTCGGTTTGAGACTGGATGGGTCGCAGGGACTTGTAACAAACGCGACAACAATGCTTTCAACGTATGGGTTTGACAGCGACAAACCGGTAACAACCAACAAGAACAGGCTTGGCTGTTGCCACCAACCAAGGAAAGCTACTGATGGTAGGGGAGAACTATTCTTCGTCTAACCAAGGATTTACTGACGCACATTTCCTCCACATGGTGCATATGCTGCATCAAGTGAGCAGAGCACATTTTTGATAATGTAAATGGGCCCTGTTGATCAACCAAGCCGCGATTATTTGGATTTTAAAACACCTTGAGGAAAACAGATCGAATCACCAACAGCAAATGGTTAAATTACAGGAACATTCTAACGTTCATAGGTAACAAGGCAGACAAGTGAAATGAGGAAGACTGTCCACACCCATGTACTCGTCGGTCAACGCAGCTGGATACTGTAATTTAGTGCTTCCCCAAATCTGGTAATCGCGAATTGAAAATAGATTACTTTCATCCATCAAGTTGGCAGGATAGAAAAGCAAATGTTTGCTCAAAGGAATAAAACGTAGTTTAAAGTGGGTATCGACAAGAAGTAACGAAACTGTTGTTCCGTCAGCTAATGAATCAAGCGGTCCTTCGAGTCTGTTTCGCCGGGCCTTTCGGATCCCCCGATCCATCATAGCGTTTGAGAAGGGTTTAGCTGAATTTAGAGTCTCTTGAAAATATTAACTGGTTTGTCTTCAAAATGGCGAAGTTGGCATTATAGGAACTTAGCAATGAAAGTATTTGCATCGCCGACTTATAAGGACTCAGGGAAATGTCATCGGTAATTTTACCAGAGACGAGCTTTGGCCGAAACACAGTCTTAAAAGAAGCCGCTTTCTTTAGTAGAAATTAATACCAGTGGGGAGTTTCATTAAAACGGGCTCGAGGATCAAAATCTATGCAGTAAGTAGAGAGAATGGGGGTTATAAATGGTTCACTTACCGACGCTGAATACATAAGAGATGACGATCAGTTGCAGTACCGTCTTGTTCGAGAATGGAGCGGGAACTTTGCTGCTCATCTTGGAAAACAATCTAGACTCTGATTTCGCCCAAAAGGCTGGAAGCCAACCTTGAAAAGCCCTAGTTCCCTTCAAGCGCAACTGTCGAGTCGGACCTCTACAGTTATGGCAAACAGATTTCCTGTAAAGGTCTTGGAAATGCTGACCCCAGAAACCCAAAGCGAAGAAGTCTCCAACGGTTATATAAAACAATGCCCGTTTTTCGCCCGCACTGTTCGAAAAGCAAGGCCGTGACAGACGATCCCACCTCGCACGTTCACTTCTTGTACACGTTCAGAAGTATTCTTTTGACGCAGCAAATAGGAGCACAAAATGCGAAGGAAGAGATTGTGTCCCTGTTCCTGGCTGTAACAATGATCATTTGGTATTCATAATGGTTAGAAGAGCATGTTTTTAGCAGTGGGTCTAACCGAGGAAATGGCAAGCGGACATCCTGTGTAGACCCAAATGGCTGCCTAGGCCGACATGTTTTTGTCATCATTTGATAGTCATGGGCTTTCCTCACAGCGATAGTGTTACACCATGGAGCTATAAAACAGACGGACGCGGTGGGTTCCGTGTCATTCCACGACCTGCTTTGCTGTGTCTGTCTTTTTCCGGAGTGTGTGGTTTCTAACAGGCTTACATTTCAGTTTGTTTCCCCTAAAACCTCCTCACATCATATCATTAATACACAAAGCAACGGTGAGTAACGCATTGGCTCTAAACACCCACCTTTTGTACATGTTCCATCTAGGAGAGAAGACAAACAGGACCATCCTTCAAAAAGACCCCCCCCCTTTTTTTGAAAAAAAAAAAGAAAGGCGATTTTGGGGTTAATTTCATTTTCCTCCCTCCCAAAAGCGTAAAAAATGTCTAAAATGTAGCCCCATCCCTCGAAACGCCGTATATAAGGTTATTTGCAAAAAAATTCCAAATTTACTGCCCTCCAAAACAAGCTCCCCCCACAAAAATGGATCCGCCCTGACGTGTCCTGTACTTTAATTAGAACCCAAAAGTTGATATGATACTTCGCAAACAAAAACTGTTTTGATTTCAGCATTTAGTATTACTAAATTAAACTCGTTTTGGGTGACGTGCTTCCTTGTTAGTTTGTGAACATTCATAGTAAAATGTTTACCCATTTGCGAGTCTTTTTTTCAGAACAGACACTTGCTTCAATATGGCTGAATTATACAGAAACTGTACCTTGACAAAATAAGTGAATATTAAGTGTGGCTGGAAATACGTCCAAGCGTAGACATTTGTAGACACAGACACTTGTTTATGGACGAGACCATTGACATTTCAGAAAACTTGGACAGGATGGCTGTGTTGTAAGTTTCTGTGAGCATAAAAATTGTCAGACTTTTCAGGCCAGCGCCAAGAATATGAGCCGGGGGCTTTAGTCACGCCCAAATTGACACTTTAGAAAGATGTCCTATACGTGCAGCATTGTAATTACATTTGACGGGACATCGTTTCGATGTAAAAAAGCGCCTTCCCCTCCCACTGTGTTTAAGCCAATTTTTTGAAGTCGACGGGAAACGGGCAGCCTTGCGTAAAGTTCCCGCTAACATCGCTGTCGTAGGCGCGTTGGTTTGTTTGACACGGCGTCGAAGACCCAGACTTTTCATTGAAATAGTTTTATCACGCGAGAAGAGAGTCACGGTCGAATGTGCATGGATTTCCTGTCCCATATTATCATCTTACAAACCTTTCACATTTACCGTGTTCTCGAAGGTTCCCCTTGAATGCATTTTTGTCATGAATCAGATATTTAGAATGTACTGCTTTGTGAAAGATCTCGTGTTGGCGAGTACATGTACAGATTTTGTGCTGGACCGGCCTTTTGGGCTTTTTTTCCATTGCCAAGGTCTTTTAGGTAGCATCCGTGATCAGATTGTACTAATACCCATGGGGCCCTTAGGCCTTATTTCAAGTATGCTCTACTGTTTGTGAAAAACTAAAAAGGGAAATATCGTCAAATAAACTGAAATTTCACGGTACAATTTAAGGCAATTAGTGACTACTACTACCAAAAAAAACCCAAAAAACAAAAACAAAAACAAAAAACAAAATAGAAGAATGTGGAAGAATAATAGACATAATTATAATGAAAACGATTGTGTTTGTATTAAGCATGAAAGCAGAGGACATTTTCCCCATAAAACAAGACGAAAGTGTAATATCATTGTCCGAAGTACACACAGGAAATCCCTCTGTGGACTCAAACCATCGGTACGGGCCTATTTTAATGTTAGTTATAGGTAATAATTTCGATTAGATCAAGGTAAGAAAGCCCAAAACACGTGGAGACAGATACAATTTGAAAGAAATTTCAAGACTATTCAAAACGCAGCAAATCAAACGAGGTGGGAATTAGTCATATTCGTGTGTGGAAACTTCACCGGACGATAGTTGATCAAACAAAAGAGGTCCCGTTACGGCCCATCTGCGGCAACTTTGAAAAGCGTTATCAAAAGTTCTAGCCATTTCTAAAAATAGTCTAAGCCTAAGGCATTGCAGTCCGCTAATAATAAATAATTCTAAAGAGGAAATCCCTCATCAAGAGGGTCCTCATAGCACTTATGTGCAATAAAAGTGATAAATGTGATGTGTTGGCTTGAAGCTTAGTCAAAAAAGATACGTTTCTGATCCAAAGGTCAGATAATAATGGCCAGGCAAGATTCCTTTTTTTCCCGACAAAAATAATGATCATCCAGCATCGTACCTCACCGACGAACGTTAACGAGTCAACTATCATCGAGCAAGATAGCGCAAAATGCATTTACAACTGTCAGAATGCAGGTCAAGCGAACAGCTCAACTCCACACTGCATAGGCCTAATGTGTCTTGAAATAGGTTGGCTGTTTAACTTTACCTCGACTGGCATGCAGATGAACGCACGGACGATTTATGACACAACGCGATCTGTATACACGGCCGGCATTATAATCGCAAAACTGTTATCTCTGAGCAGCAGGTTTTAAAAGAATTTTGACAACAGGGATCAACAACTGATGAACAGAAGCAACGGACAACCTCTCTCGATCATGTGAAATATACCATCTGCTATTTTACACTCAAGCAAACTATAACTGTACAATAACTCAGTAACGTTTAAAAACGGTTAGGAAGTTAGACCGATCACAGTAATGGATTATTTCGAACTGATTGGGAGAGCAGGAATGTGCGTCAATTTTTTTCAATAATATAAAGTAGATGTGAAATTAACTAATATGTATATCCCCTAAGAGAAACAATATTGACAACAAATATTTTTTTGTAACCAACTAAAAATGTGTGCCAGATATAAGCAAGTAAAGAATCTGTAAGATAAAAGAAAACGGACCGTTGCCTCTGATAATTATTAATAAATGTTAAAGCCTTGGCGCTCTGCAGAGATTTGTGTCAAGAGTAAACGCTTATTTTTTTTAAAGAAAACTTCCACTGGAAATTGCATCTTTAAGGGGTCCTCTGATAACCACCACATCAGATGGGGATTTCAAGATGTTAGAGGGCGGTAGACAACCAATTTTTGTGTTGCCTTTGTTCTCGCTAGGGAAAACTTTCACGAAACCATTTCGCAGATCTGCAATCTTCAAAGTAGGTCTCCAAGTTTTTTTGAGCGTGAAGCCGAACAATCATTAAGTAAATGCCTCTTAATCCTTCAGGCGCTTGTTGTGCTGCGCAGTCACAAGCACGGCATCACGTGCGTGTCTTGGACCAATAGGATCCCCTTCAACTGTGGTTAAATATTATCCTATGCTGGTACCTTTACGCACAAGTGATACTGACGTCATTTCTGATATTCGCCATATGGGTTGGTTGTAACTCCTTATCAACAGGCCTACTCGAGTCCCTCATAAGTCCCTGCATGTCCCTTAAGTCCCACACAAGTCATTCGGTCTTGAGCCAATTCACAAGCTATTCAAATGAGCTGTGACAAAAGCATTCTTTTGTCATTGTTCACCCTGTTACTTATGACTGGCCTTACGAAAGAACATTTAACTGGACTTGTGAAGGGACTTGTTAAGGACTCAAACACCACACTGGTTCTTATACACATGCCCATTTTTCCTGTTTTTCCGTTATACATCACAAATTTATCATTTTGCCTCTTCACTTGAAAATATTTCTACAGACTTAATGAAAATTTTTAAGGCCCGGCAAAGCTCATATACATGTGTTGCTAGAAATATTGGATCAATACGAAAAGCATCCACGTAGATCGCTGCCAATTTTAACCAAATGTGGTATCATTAACCTTTGCAATGGCAGATTACGCCATCTGCACGTTCCCACAATTTCAGCAAGCAATCTATCTAAACCTGATGGATCTGCTCGGCAGGATACCTAAAATAACCGGCTGTCACTATTCCCCATAAATATGCATTAACTCTCAACGAGTTAATGTTATACCAATCCATCAGAAACGTAGTTTTTATAAATGATAGAGAAATATTGACGGGATATTCCTTGAAATAAATACAACATTCAAAAAAATGTTTGGGACAAAATAAAACATTGGAAATCGTGCCTTCCAAATCATTGAAGAGATCGAAATTCGATTAAAAATAAACCCCACCAGAAAGTACTGCGGTATGATATCGAACTGCCCTTGATTCATCCGCCTGGAAATTGAATTCTTTTGGTCTTTCTTATTTCAGAATGGAGCTATGATCATTCTTCAGAAATTCCGGATGGTGTTAATCTAACAAGGTAGGGTTTTGTCGGTTTATGGATATATTGTCAAATGTTTGTATCTTCAATATTTTTCAGGTGGAGGTGGTAATTCTATCTAAAGTAGCAACCTTCTTTGTACAGGTTCAGTGAGTAAATATGCAAGACATCAGCATTTTGACCTCCTGATTGTGACGAATCAGTGAGCGTCAACTCAACGCGTGCAGTCACATGACAGCTGCTAACCAATAAACGGCGTTTTGTCTTTGGTGACCAACGGCTCTGATTGGCTGGTGCACCAGGTTGCATGAATATAATAAACGTCCGTTGGTAGTGGATCCTGTCTAAAAGATGATACTTGGTGGATACTTGGTGAGTAAGTTAAATCGGCAATATAGCAGTGAAAACTGTCAATGACATGGATGTTGGGGCTATCGAAATGACGGCCTGCGACTACACGTAGGCTCAAACAAGGAGTTAACTCGCGGCCGAGGCACTTCCAACGACACGGTGGATACCACTGGAGACGGCTCTACCATCGCCGTGGGAACTCGAGACAATTTCCGCCGGACTGTCTCAACCAAATACTTCCGAAGCGTCTTGTGGTGAAACATGTAGAGGAAAGGATTGATCGCCGCGTTGGTGTAAAAGATAATCTTGTATACAATGGTCAGTTCGAACTCGTACGCGGGCAAGTGCCGTATCACCGCCAAGATGACGATAGTGGACGTCCACGACACGAGAAAGTAGATCGTAATGATGGAGAGGACAGCAGCGATTCGGACATTTTGCCTAACGAGGCTGGGCTGAGGGACAGCGGGGTCTACGCAACTGACTCGCCGCACGTCGTGGATGGCCCTGACGTGCCGACGCGCGATGAAAAAGATGTGCGCGTACATAATGAACATGGCTGGGATGGGGATGAAGAAGTTGCACATCAGGAAATAGCCGTAGGGCAGTCCAATCAACGTCGCAATATTGCAGGAGGAAGTGCTGTTACTCGTGCCGACGGGAGGCTCAACGTTCACTTCGTCTGGAATCAAGATCAGCAAACCCAAGCCCACCGAGTAGAACCATAGGAAGGCGAGGACGCACAGAGCGCGACGCGAGGTGACGAGCGTGACGTAGCGCAGCGGTCGGCTGATAGCCAAGTAGCGGTCAACAGTCACACAGACCAAACTTAGTAAGGACGTCATGGCAGCCATGACGGCCAGGATATTAATACAGACGCACAGGGCGCCGTCTGTGTAAAGATCCACCGCGCTGTGGTAGCTCTGGAGGGGCATAATCATCAATGCTGTGAGCAGGTCGACAGCGGCTAGACTCAACACAAAATAATTCAGACTTTCTCGAAGTTCCTTCTTAACGATTACCAGGTAGATGAGGAGTGTGTTACCAAAGATGGCGATCATGCCGATAAATACTAACAACCCAACGGCTATCCAGCCCCCTGCAGAAACGTTTTCGTCCATTTTCCCGCCCCCGCCAATAAGCCACTCCTACAGGGTATGAGGCAGAAGCCGCTTTTTAGCGAGTAAATCGCAATTGAACGAACGCTACACGATCAACTGCAGTCTTCTCAATATAGCAAAAGTGTTTTACCATTCGAGCGAGTATACATTTTGTCACATGAAACATACATGGTACATTACTAAAGTTCGACGTTTACCTGAGTTTGCGTTGAAGCGGGCGGAACCAAGTTTTGTCACGAAGGGCACTCCATATTAGATCTGAAGCTTCATAGATTTTTTTTCAAAAAATCTGTCGACTGATACGGGTGATTGTTGCTTTCAACCTGCCAAATCAACCGGGTGCACTAGATATGTGGTCAGTCTGTCTAAAGTGTGACCACATTCCAGAACTGATCGGCAAATGTGCAATTCTGGTGCCACTTTGAGCAAGTCACCGACTAAAAACATCTCTTCATGGAACCTTCCAAGTTGATAGCAAGACATTAATCATTAACTGCCCGGATACAAACAGGCATAAATCTTCCGAACCGAGGGGCGAGTTTCCAATCTTGTCCCTCCTTCTTCAACCAAGGCTTCGTAACTGGCCTGCCGTTTATACATCGAACGCCCCCATGTATCAATTTAATCCATAACGTTTTGGTGTGATTTTTCTGGAGTGCTCCACTCCAAAACACGGTGGTACTGCAACCAACGGTGCAGTGTGTGGAATACAGACGCTCTGCGCAACCGACTGTAGATCGCCGTCAGGTCCCTAGCGCGTCTCGCACGAGCCTGGGTCATTAGACTTGCCGCGTCTTTGGGTTTAAAGCACCGCCCATCCCCCGGGATTTATGACTGCATCAGATGTACCAGATGATTTGCTGTATTTAATAATATCGAAACCTCCTCATTATTGCTTCAATTAATGTTCTTTCTGCGGGGCACCGGTTTCTAGAAGAGCGGAGTGGGGTTGTTAGGCAGATTCTTTATTGTCAGAGGGGACCGGATCGAAGATCTTGCCACAGCAAGAGCCAGAAGTAAGCGATTGTAGGGATCCCGAATTCCAACGAGACGTCAAATCTTGTTCGAGACCTTCTCTTTATATCCCAAGAAAGGAACCTCTTCAGCTCGAAAATACAAATGGAAGCCCTTTAAAGCAGGTGTAGCATAGGCCTTTCTCACCACCGTGATAAACGTTCCAGGTTTACTCATTTTTCAGATTCAGATTTGATGCTCACAATTTCGTGTAATTCTTGAGCGAGAGGTCAGACGTTTAAATGTACGTAGGGAGGTTTCTGATTATGCACCTCATTCTTTATAAGTCGCGCTTAAAGTCATTGTAGAATATCAGAAATGTAGTCAAAACTTGTTGTCGTCGACAATTTGTCCCAACGGGACAATTTTTTCTCAATAACTAGTTAGAATAAAAGCCTTATGCAAGTAAGTTCCCAAAGTTCCATAAGTTCCAAGGGTCACCACTTACAGTTCATAGGGTGGGGCTTCCTCAGTGACTCCAAAGTGATTGCTGTGAAACGGGAATGGTCGTGAGTCACTTACTCATCTACTGAAGAAGCGGCTCCTTGTCTGGCAAGAGAACTTGGCGCAAATTGGGAGAAGAAAACGATGGAAGCTGAGCGGAGATGTGACTTCTATGGAAAGCACACAGTAGAAAATCACTTCCCAGTAGGTAGTTTTAATCTAACTACCATCCGTTACATGTTTCCATCGGGGATGAATGTAAGCTACAGGTCTGGAGAATATATCAGCGCTGGCTTTCCATTTTGTCCCAAAGCACGAACCTCTCCGTGGATGTTTACACAACCAAAACGAGGGCGACTTGCCGATCTCAGCTGACAGCCACAGCGCAGGCGTGGCGTGAACGTTGTGACGCGGAAATTGCAGCGGGGACAAACACTCTGCGAATATTTCCTTGACGTCAGGTGTGCTAAAGTGGGTGGCTGATAGTGAGTGGTTGCCTGTCGGAAAATCAAACAGAAGGAATATTTGGAGTTATTCAAGTATCTCTCAACCGCAGTAATATCTATTTTTATTAAATATTGTCTTGTTAACCAGCTCACTGAGGACTAGCTGAATAAATAAATGAAAACAGAAGTTGAAGTTAAAAAAATCTTCAGCGTTCTTTTGCTTTTTCGAGTCGTATCTGATGAATAATGTCATCGTTCGTAATATTGGCAGCAACCTTATACGGTTGGCTGCGTAATTTCACTCGTTTCCCTTTGACTTATGCAGTTGTACTTTGCTTTCATTTTTCATACACGAATACCGGCAAAAAAGTCGAGCTGCGATTGTTCAGAATAAAGATCTCACGGGATGATAATTAAAAGGCACCGCATCGCCGATAAGAAGCCTGGTTGTTAGCAAAAACGAAAGATAAATCGGTGGCTTTTTCTTTCTTTTTCTCATGCACTTGGGGAAACGAACACTAAGCAGGTTAAAAAGATTGTCTGTTGATTTATATTTTCCGAAAAAAAGTTTCATTGAAGCAGATCAAACAGACGATGACCTAGATATCTGGAATTATTCGGTAATGGGATCACACAAGCCATTAGAGAATTAATGTTGTGTGTTTTGTGCCACAAATATAAAAATCGCCTTGTTTCCGAATAAGAGACATCTATAAATCATTTAGATGGGGTCGTTTCATGCCACTGCCCGCTACTATCAATTCCAACACCTGTGCACTATCTTTACTTAATACAACAAAAACTACGTCGCCACGGTTCGAAATCTTGGAAAATTGTGTGGTGGCAATTTCGAAAGAATTTTTATTACTACTTACCTTACACGAACTCCTTTATAAAACTTAACTGAAAAATTATCTCTCCATAGCAACAGAAAGAGAAGTTATGAACAATGGCGATGATGCGTCATGCACACCGCCTGAATCCTGTCATCTGAATGGAGATCGTCAGACACGTGTCATGCACAGTTCGTCCAAAAGGATGGTGCAAGCTGCCCAGCAAAAACGGAATGTTCCATTCCCTCGGTAAGTGGATCGATCGATCGATCGACCTCTCTTATATTAACAGTCAAAAAAGTTCGAACTCATGCAGGGAATTGGTCAGTAGGGGAGTGTATCCAGATTTATTCAGGAATTGTATAATATAAATACATGAACAGAACGATTCATATTTGTGCATTGTGCAAATCATTCACTCAGGAAATAACCCTCTTCATGTCATCTACAAACATCCCCCGTTGGTATAACATACCGGGGCGTGGGAAAATGAATGCAAACTAACAACTCTCACAGCAACAAGACAGACTTCGAGGGCGCCTCCCAACTTTAGTATTGAAATCACACAAAGCAAATCAGTATTTACAAAGGTAACCAATATTGTAACCAATATTGTAACCAATATAGATAAATTACAATATCGGGTAACTCTTCCAAGTAATAAGACCAGTGCAGGTGCAAGGCTGGAGGGGAGTGCACGGCTAAGGCAAAGAAATCCAAACACAAAAGTGGCTACCAAAATACATATAAAGAAATCGGAAGAATGACCAACGCCCAATGCGCGCAGCAGTCTTATATACCTGCAGAGTGCACCCAACCAAAAAGGTATTAAAAGAATTTGAAAAGTGTGCGCGGTATGCCTGAAGGTGGAGCTCAGGCATTAACTGTTACGAGACCTATCCTCGTGAAGAAATACCCTCGTTGAATTCTATAATTAAACAATTTGCTAAATGTCGGGAAAATGCGGACAACACTGAGGTCTTTTTTCTCAAAGATTTGCGACAAAAGATTACACAGCTCCCAAAGCAGAAATAATCATCCCGTTGATTTTTAGCAATCCCAAAATAGCAGATATTGCCTTTAAGCATTCTTTTTCCACAAAAGCCGCTCTTTGCATTGTTTGCGCACGAACGCATTTCAAATCGAACGGTTCCTTATCGCTACTCGTGTTGATTGATATAGTGCAATTTATCAGGCATTATCACGTATTCATATTTCGCAACTGGCCTTTCTATTCATTAATCTATTCCAGCACTTATATGTGAAATATCAGATGAGTTTGTCATGAATGCAGCTCACACATGATGTGCACCATGCAAGAATGACCTATAACAGAACATTTCAACAAGTGATACGTATAGACCCTACAGGTTACTATGGAGGAATAATAAATCGATCGCAAATTTACAAAAAACAATCAACTCCAAAACTTCTGTCACAAGATAGAAGTATTTTCCCTCATTATAGGTTTGGTTTAGCTCCGAATACTTAACAACTAGCCTGGCTACATACTTTTAACAGACATGGTTACCCTGGTGTCCAAAACAACGGCTTTTCAGCAAATAAATCAACTTAAGATCCCCCATTAGGCAAATTCCCGTTAACGGCAAACTTTAACAAGAACTACAGAAGTTGAGGCCTCTTTGAGTAAACTGCCTCAAAACGTTTTCCATCTGTTCTCGACATCAGTGTTTGTTTAGCTTCAGTGAACAGTAATATGAACCATGGCTTTCTCAAAGCCATTTGCGCAACTCTGTGCTCGAGCACAAGATGGACACGAATTTTGTACCCCGCCAATGATCGGCCAAAAATCAACACATTTTTACGAAACGAACACGCACCATGGCGTACTGAGGGTTATCTATCATTTCTGTAATCTCTGTGGCGGTTGCGAGCTGAGATAGCTGATCGCATCGGGCACTTTTATTTGTCACTGATCGGGGAGTTCAATGCCTAGCAATTAATTTCGTTTTCAATGACTAATTTACGAAACCCTAAAATTGGAAAATTATTGTGCAAATTTGTGATGGTGCAAACTAAAATTTTACATCGTGTACATACGTGATGTTTCGTGATCTGTTGTCACTATTTTAAACAATTGACAGCCTCAACGGTATTCGTGCAGGGACTGAAATTTTCCAAGGCTGCTCTTGTAGTGTTCGGCAGTTAATTGATAAGTTCAAATATCGGGCTTATGCTACGTAAAATGTTGACATCTGTAGCTATATCATACGCTCCATATAAGACAGATATATACAAACAGATGTCTTTGAACGGAAAACACACCGCGCTTCGGAGGACAACCTTATGAAGCGATGACTCCCCCCCCCTTCCAAAAAATTCCGTCAGTCTTAAAGCGTTAGGTATTTTGCCAACCTCCAACGAGCTAATCTCCTTCCTGGCAACGCCCGACGAAAGAGGAGTACACATTTTTGCTGAAGTACATACGAAAAAATTAATATATTTGACACTGCTGCAATTCTAATATCACTGATAAAACATTGTAATGAGAATAGGTTTCAAAACAACAATCAGTACATTCTGACAGTAACAGAGAACAGGTGGGCTTGCCAAATGGAAACTTTGGGGGAAAAATACTAACATAAGTGTCAATGCACTGTTTACTAAACACCACAATTTATACTTGCAATCAAACTTAATTAAGCGGCAAACTAATCATTTGGCAAACAGTCAGGAGTGAAAATTCCTCTTTAAAGTGAAAGAAAATTCAACACAGCACTCACAAAATTGGCTGCTTTATAAGCCCAGATTCCATGTTTAATCTGAGCTTAATTTTAAAAAAAAGAGATACTCACGATGTGAAACCGTTTTCTTCCAGTCTAACTTGTGTACTTCCTCTTCGGCCAACTCGGGCCAAAAACAAAAACACTGTCCTGTTTTTAGTGGCCAACTGAAATCTGCAAATGGACTACGAACTCTCTATATGTGGTCCTTTCTGCGTAGTAGACTTTGTCTTTCTGTGGCGTAGTACCAATCTACCCGGTAATATGTCATCGCTTGCCAGCTATCACTTGTACCAAAGTCCACAGCGAGGCAATTATTTTTCCTTTAGAAGAGATAACAGAAAAACTGAATGATTGATCAGTTTCTAGGGCCCCATTTTCGCAAAATTAGTCAGAACTTTATCAGAAACTTACATCAATTTGTAAAAACACAAAGCTGAATTCCTGTTCTCTTATACGGTAAACACTGATGTGGCACGGATATTTTTAAAAGCGATTTTTTCCGACTGGATCTTTTTGTTAATGGATATTGATTTTGCTTCCATTGTTGCTGTTCCATCTGTTGCTGTTGCTTCTCATGTTGTGCTGTTGATGTTGTTATTACTGCCATGTCGTTGCTGTTCCATCTGTCACTGCTGATCTTGCTTCTGATGCTGTGTTGCTTCTGCTGTTGATATTGTTATTACTGTCATGTCGTTTTTGCTGTTCCATCTGTTGCTTCCGCTGTTCTATCTTTTGCTTCTGACGTTCCATCTGTTGTTCCTGATGCTGTGCTGCTTCCGCTGTTGATGTTGTTATAACTGTCATGTCGTTGTTGCTGTTCCATCTGTTGCTGCTCCCATTGCTTCTTATATTGATATCTTCAATATTTTGTGGCTTGGTAGCTTTTGCTGTTAGTATTGTTGATATCGTTTTGATAACAGCAGCACAAAAACAACAACAACAATAACAACAACATCAAAAGGAATGCACAATTCAGCCACAATCAGATGGGGTGGAGGTTCACGCTTTAAGGGTAGCTGCAATCGATTTATTTGAAAACAAACCTACAAATACATCGTTAATCCTCGTTTTAAACCTTTGTTTGATTTTTTCTACTTGGTTTGTACTCAAAAAAGTGCTGCACGTTTGTGGATTTTACTGGACCCATTTTTTCTTCTTTGCTAATTCCTTGTTGTTTAAGTGCAGAACAATTAGTAAACATCAAGCTTTTTCTCTGAAATGTTTAGTAAGATAATTATAGGTTCCTAATTTGAACAGAAAAACCTGTGCACTGAACTGTATATGTCTTCCCTAGATGACATCATGGCAATAGCGCCATCAATTGTCCATGGAAGCATAGATAAGGTTTCAAGTTTTGAAAAGTGCACTTTGCAATGCATTTAACCGAGTATGATTATAAGAGTTTTCACACATTGAGGAAGAGTACAGCGTACAAAGTTGCAGAGAAAAATCCATTGCAGTTACGCATTTAAGTTTGAGTGAAAAAGGATGCTAACCTTGGTGAAGCCTGCGACTTGCAGGTAGTGCTTCTGACAATTTGACGAGAAATTGGAAAGCCTATTTAAAAGTTTCTTGGCAAGAATTTTCAATTGTCAAGACAAAGCAAACATTACAAACTGAGATGCTGAAGTTTTGAGTTTGACACAGACTGAGGCTAGAGGGCGCTGTGACAAAACGAACGGGGGGGGCGGTGTGATGGAGTGGATAAACTTTCAGGATACTTCTCCCAGCGGCTGTACAAATAGCCGGCTTGTTATCCGACGGTGAGTTAGGGTTGTATTTGTCTCGCACTGTCAATAGAGATTTGCATTGACGACCTGCGACCTTTGATCACTCGAACATAATGCGTTCGGCATTCTGTGCAGTTTTATTGTTCTTGTACCCCCTTTTGAACAAGATGGCGTCTCGGTGATATTTCGATCTCCAAACTTTGTGGACATATTGCTAAAAGAGCTGGGATATTCTGCCCCACCATGTCTTGAAAGCTGTAACCAGTCAAATTGTGTAATCGAATTTCACAAAGGCCTAGTTTTTGCCAGTCAGCTGAGCTTTAATAGAGGTGCGATAAAGTGCTACTCGGACGTTCATGTACTCTTGGAACTACGATCCAAACTACGTCACTGTTACTATGGGTACTAATCAAGAGAACACGAAGAAACACAAGGTAACGTATCAAGTTTGACACACTCATTGAGTGACCAATTAGAGAGAGGCAGAACATATCTATAGAGACATCAGTACTTGGATATAAATATTCATGTACGTAAGTGCTTGTAGCCTATGATACCGAAAACTGATTTAAGATTTGCTGATTCAAAATGTTTTTCTGAGAAACAGACTATTTGTGGGTATTCTGACTACTACAGCCATTTTTATCTGATATCACAGAAAGGTCTGTGGGTCAAAGCATCACTAAGCTACAAATGTGACAGCCTTACGAGTTGTCTGTATGTAAAAGGCATCCGAATCTCAATTGGTATGAGTTAACCAAGAATGATGTCATCATGACGTCACGTCAAGTTTCACCTATACCAACTCTCACTTCCAAGATTGAGCCAAATCCGGTGGGATAGTTCTTTATTTATTGGCCCTTAAATTGTGAACGTTTAGATGGCACTCTCAATGTAGACCATATCCCATTCTACCCACAAACCAAGCTCAAAACTTACAGTTGCAATGCACCAAATGCGCGCCCATATAAAAAATTGCGAAATCAGACCGATATAACGCTGTCTGTTGACTCTCGGGAAGGGGTTGGCCTCCATTTTTTTTCTGGAAATTCAAGATTATGACTAGAAGTTCACTTTTCGTTTAAATTTTACAGGGGTTAGCCATGGGATTTTTTTTATTCGCCTTTCCCCGAAAATACCCCCCAAATAGTAGTAAAACTATGCGCTCAGCTCTGGATGCAGCCACTGCCTCAATCCAAAATAGGCCCACAGGTTGGGGCTTTTATGAAAGAAATACCTCGAACTGGAAACTGCCAGACCAATATTCGGGATTTATAGATTTATCACTATGATTCCTCCTGATTATGGCATGTCCTATTGTAAAAGCCCTGTTGGATCACAAAATATTAATAAGCTTGCACGCAACGATTTGGTGGAATGCACCCTTACGGTTCTCGTTTATTTAATACGTGCACATCATTATCAAGACGTCATTATTCATGGACAATCTATCCTTTAAAATTTTGTTTGGGCAAAACTTGAGTCTGTAGTTATCTTGGTTAATTTTGACTAGCGAAAGGACGTTACGTGGGAAAAGATAAATGTTTCCAATAAAAGTTCATGGGGGGGGGGGCTATACGCACTCCCACTGCTTAGAAATTTCATTACAAAGTTTGACGAAACTCCAAGTTTGCAAAGTGTCCAAAGTTTATGCCAGAAAAAATCTGATTATTACAAAGTCTATGGACTCCTGAGGACAACAAAAAGGAAACAAAAAATTCAGAAAGGTTTTCCGCAACTACACAGAAAAGCTACATCACGTATAGCAACCAGTGACGTACGCCTATCCACTCCATACTTAAGTCTGAAGGCAACTCCTTCCAATGGGATCTGTATTAGGCTTTTGCTCTCAGACAGAAAGCGTAGATACCCATTAAATCACAGACGTAGACATGGATCAGTACGGGAGATTCACAATAGTGCGCCTCCAAGAGTTGCAAAGCGCTGGCCAATCACAATGTGCGAATTCTATCGACCCAATGAACATTTGGAAAGGGTCGACAGATTTCGCACATTGTGACTGGCCAGTGCAATGCAAACTCTTGGGCCGAGTTCGGGCGGCTTGTCCCGTATGTTCACGAACAGCTCTATTTGTTGTTCGTTGGTCGGCCGCTCGAACACCGGGAACAAACAACCGGTTATCGCTGGTAGTTAGTGACAAGTAACATGCAACATGGCGGCGTCCATGTAGGCTACGTTAGTCGACAGTTAATGTTTGGATGGGGTGAATTCTTTTCTATATAAACAGGAACATTCATTTCCGTGTTACGGAAAATGATTAATGTTGATTTTGCAAAACTTCCCATTGTCTATGGCTTTGGAGAGCCATCTCTCTACTTTTTGCAGCTGATCAAAAACCAAACTCTCACGAGTTTTTCCATGTGTTCCTGTAAAACCCTGACGAGGAGGTGGTGTGTGATCCTGTTCCGAGAACAGTGTTCTTGAGTCGTGTTCCCGCCGTTCGAGTGTGAGAACAAGAAACCCGTGTCAAGAACAGGCCTCCCGAACCCGACCATAGAGGCGATTCGCAATTGCATTACTGCAATGTTAATTCTATATTGATTATAATATAGAAATTGAGATCTAAGAAATTTACTGGAGCGGGATTTGAACCTGCAACCTCTGGAACACCGTACAAGTGCTCTACCAACTGAGCTATCAAGCCCTACGTTGGTGGCTCTTCCCATTTGTCAACATCTCTGTTTAGGGGGAGCTAACCAGAAGCCACCTGAAACACCATGTAGTCAGGGATCACACCCCAACAACACGATACAACCTGGGAAACCTGGGAATATCTCTGTTCAGGGGGTGCCAGAACTGGCTAGCGCCCCTGAACAGAGATATTGACAAATGGGAAGAGCCACCAACGTAGGGCTGGGTAGCTCAGTTGGTAGAGCACTGGTGCGGTGTTCCAGAGGTCGCAGGTTCAAATCCTGCTCCAATCAATTTCTTTGTTCATCTTTATGATAATTTATAAGCACAGTGTTAATTTCATTAAAAACGTCAGCAAATTATTAGCACACACCGAAGAGCCGGTTCGAATTTCAAGAACACAACGTAACTCGAGATTAAATCTTCTGGTTTCATGCCAGACGTGCTTTAATTTCTACCATGCGCTGTTAAAGTATCAAACAACCTCACTACAAGGGTCTTTGTTTCTTTGCTCTTCTCTGAATGACAACATCTCGAGTAAGCCTGGGTAATTAAGTGCCAAAGCACCCTCTACCTTGACAACCTTACCCCGCCTCTCTCCAGGTTCAACTCCCGTCCAAGTACGACCAGGTGGTGTTTACGCCCTCAGAGGAGGAGGACCAGGAGGCGGTGGAGCTGGCGTACGCTCTCAGCCTCCCCCGCCGTGACTCCGAGGAGGGGAGCGTCGACCTGCGTAACACCACGCACTCCCTCAAGCGCCACCTCCGGATCGTGTGGTGCAAGAAGGCGGCGGTCGGCATCGCGGTGGCGCTCTTTCTTGCTGCTGCAGTCACCATAGCTTTGGTTTTAGGTGACTACCAGGCGTTTGTCTAATGTGTAGATTACCATGTGATAGAACACAAATTTCTTCTGTGTAATTGATCATAAAATTGTCGACTCACTTTTGGGTTGACGTAATATGACAGATAGAGTCAGTCATCGCGTTCTTTTAAACCGAAAAAGAGCCGGGGACTGGATATCCGCCCTTTCACAATCTTCTCCAACATCGTCACGCGTCGCAGTGCAATCTTTCACTCGCTGAACCTTGAATATTTCCAGTATCATCTGGTAGTCGTTTGACCCTAATTTGGTAAAAATCAGACCTGTAATTCTCGCTCAACGCCCGCATTCCTGACACAGGTCAGCCAAAAATCCATCCTTTTTCCAATTCGTGCTCAATACCGGCGGGCCAACAATGTCATATTGAATTCAAATCTCATATTTCTCTCTAATAATGAGTATTTTCACACGCATCCCTAGTTTCATAGCGATTGAAAATATGACGCTGAGCTCTGGGTGGATAATCCCTCAGCACTGTTAGAGTCCAAAACACCTCGACGTCTCTGAGGGTTAATTGGACTTCATGAATTATGTTTATTGCAGTTTCTAAAACAAAATGAGTGATTGATCTTCAAGAAGTTGATACGTGTTTTAGAATCTAAAAGGGAAATATGCCTACTTTATTTTTTCTAGTTTTTGGGAAAAAGATGTCAACGCAAGCATCTGGTGTGAACGCGACAATCTCCACAACAAAAATTTATGAAGGTACGTAGGATGGTTTTATCTGAATTAAACACTGGTTTGCCAACCTCCATCATAAAAAGCTGTGTTCAGACAATAAAAACGTTTACTTTTCAACTTTATAAGAAGTCATGGTGGCGTAGTGGTCCTTTCCTCGCCTTTCACTGCGGCCCGGGTTCAATTCCTGGTTCGGTCCACATGTGGATTGGGGTTTCAGTCCCTGCCTGATTCCGTGGGTTTTATCCAGAATATTTCCCGGGGTTTTCCTCTCACCTCTAAAACCGTAACTGCTTCTCACTGTCTCCTCTCTCCAGATGTGGGCCATATTCGACTCACGCTGTAAATATGAGGGTCTGTGTGGAAAGCAGTGCTATGCACAGATTGGAGCTTACCCTCGTTAAATATGACATAAATTAAAAAAAATTTGGAAAGAAATAGAACTGAAGAGAAACCGAAGGCAACGGAAGAGGTTTTCAGAAACGACCACCTGACAAAATTGGAGCGCATTTGTCATAATCCATGGTTCAATTTCCCGCGTTTTTCTTTCTCTCCTGCCTTCGTCCGCAGAGTGCGCGCCGAACCAGTTCAACTGCTCGCCAGGCGACTGCATACCCAACAGGTGGCGCTGTGACGGTATCGTGGACTGCTTAAACGAGGCAGACGAACGGAATTGCGGTGAGTGATTTGCATCACATGAGGACGCCATTAGATGTTTTCTGAAGATTGGTTTATTTAACAAGCAGCACCTCGCCCCGTAGGAGTTAAACTGCAGCCACCAATCACATTTAATTATGGGCGCCGACGACAATTTGTTAGCTGCTGGCCAATTCTCAGAGGCCACCTGTGCTTGGGTACCAAGCAAAATCGACCAATGTTGACAATGGTCGCATCTCATCAACCTTACCCCCAGATGCGTACCCACAGGACCAAATGCAGGGTTACAAAAATGTTAGGGAGCCCGCACATTAATGAAAATGTGTTCTCCTGCAGATAACTACACAGCAACCCCGTGCCGTTCATGCAAAGCCTGGAGGGATGAATTTCAAACCCACTGTCCCCCGTCGGTTTGTCCTTTCTATCCGAGCTGCACATCGACTGGTCACTGGGAACCTGTGCAATGCACACTGAACAACGCCAGCTGCTGGTGCGTGGACTGGAACACGGGTGCTACCATGCCAGGGAGCTTGGTTGAAGATGTGGTGAAGGATGGCCGGCCGTTCTGTGAAATGAAGCCAACACAGCAAAACAATCAAAGGGACAATAGAAGATCAGCACCATAAACCTTCGCTCGTCGCCCAGCGCCCGAACAAGGCGCTGCAGGGGAGAGCTGATGGCCTAGTACAGATTTTAGTGAAGGAAATACGTCACACAGGGTTACAGCTAACGACGCACGGAGCATTGTGGGTACATTTCTGCCAGACGCGGGAACTCGCTCAGTGCCGCGTTACACAAGCGGCGGTTATCAGTTTGATTTTTTCTTCCTCATTGCTGAAAATATTCTCACTTATTCGTTCATCCAAAATTGATCAAGATAACCAATGATTTGAAATATGTCGCCCAAAGATACGTGACTAGCGCTACTTAGTGAGATTGAGAATATAAATTACGATACCGTGATTGGCCAAGGCCATGTTCTATTATTGCCGAAACTTTGCCCGCGTTAAAAAATTGAACATAAACCCATCATAGCGCCCTCTAGCTATTTCACTCGCATCTCCTTGCCGAAAGCTTAGGGATGCACCCCACCAAATCTTTGGATTTCTGCGCGAGTGCTCATTAGAATTTTGTGATCCCACAGGGTTTTTGCAATAAGACATGCCATAATCAGGAGGGATTATAGAGATATTTCGATAAATCACGATTTGGGGACTGGTAGTTTCCAATTTGGGCGATTTCTTTTACAAAAAGCCCAAACCAGTGGGCCTATTTTGCATAGAGGCAGGCGGCTACATTCAGAGCTGAGCGCATGGTTTTACGCCTATTTCAGGGACATCTTCGGGGAAAGGTGAATAAAAAAAATCGCCTAGCTAACCCCGATAAAATTGAAACGAAAAGTGAACTTCTGAATTTCCAGTGAAAAACTGGAGGCCAGCCTCTTCCCGAGAGTCAACAGGCGGCGCTATTTCGGTCCGATTTTGCACTGTTTCCTACGGGCTAGTACTTGGTGCATTGCAAGTGTTAGCTGGTACCTTTACGGCTTGTGAAGGACAAGCAAAGTATTGGAAGTAATTACTGCTGCAACCATGATCCCTACAGTTACATTTCGTGCAAATTCTTTCATGCGCACTCCTTTGGTGCTGACCAGGTCAGTGTCAGTTCTCTAGCCAATTTCAGCTCAAAGAAATTATTAGTGGTAGCCAGTATTAAGGCGCTTTTCCATATGTACGTTTTTGGGTGCGTTGCTAGTCACGATACGTTCATGTATTGCACTTTCTCAGGCACAAAAATCGACTCCATTAACAGAAATACACGTTTGCGTTGCGTTCAGTTCGCAGATCGCTGCAGGGACAATTTTGACGGGTACGCAACGCTTGAAGCAAGTGCATGTTGACGCGCATATGGAAAAGGCGTCTTTATGGAACAATGTGTGATGAATGGGACGAAAGAAAGTGATGACTAGACGATAATGATGAGGCGAACATGACATTTGAGACTTTTTAGTGTGAACATTGTGTAGAAGTGTAAACGGATCCAGAACCACGTTTTTTTTGGGGGGGGAGGGGACAAACGAGTTTTCGGGGGAGACATGTTGGATTTTTTTCCACGCAATTTTTCATGTGGTTTTTAAAGGGCGTGGCTTCATTTTACACGCTTTTACATGGAAGGGAAAATAAACCGAAAACTTTGCATTTCATTATTTTGTACCCCAAAAGACAAAAATGCTCGGGTGGCCCCGTTGCCCCCCCCCCCACCAGTTCCACCCTTAATATGCAAAGTCTTCCAGCCGTCCGGCTCATAGCAAATTTGGCACAGTTAATAACTAACTGCATGTTGGCCGCTTTAGCTCGGTCAGAAGACTTCTGCATTGCTTTCATCCGAAATTGAAAATTCAGACTACAGAGGGCGCTGTATTTACTTAGATTCGTTCCCTGCGTTTATAATATTATGTGGGTTCGTTGCGGTATAATGAAATTTTGTAACCGCGGCATTGGATTGGTCCCCGTCCCTATATTACATGGGTACAGACCAGTTAATCAGTTGCCATAGACAACAGTGATAAATATCCCCACTTCAAACAATCAGAAAAAGAATATACACATTTCGTAGGAGTTCAAGACACATAGGCCTATCAAATTAAAGCTCATTTCCCAGACTTTTATTTTCCTTTCCATTTTCAATGGCTTTACAGATGACTTTTGAAGATACTCTTCTCCGGAGAAAATCACCCCTCAAAACAATCATGCGACCCATCGCCATTTTCCAAATTGATACCCACACTCCATTGCAAAATAAAGCCATTTGGAGGGCCCCATTTTGTCTGATACTTTCAGATATACACGCGGACAGTCCTGCTCCTAGATTCCATCCTCTTTAGTAACCAGAAAAACCACCCAGTCTACGTGCCACGAAATGCTCTAATAGTGGAGAATTTGAAAGCCTACAAATCATCATTTGGTCTGCACTGGATCTCTTACTGGCTTGCAACCATATGGGGACCGGTAGCTAGCTAGCTGTGGTTTAACATTTACGATTAAGACCTGTCAATTTGGATGCTGACATTTTTGTCAGGCCAATAGCAATGCAAAACATGCAATACGTTTCAGCGGCGAGGCGAACGAAACACAAGTACCTATCCTTGCTAAGCCTCGGTTTATCAAAGTGTGGTAATTTATTTTTTAATGATTATCAACAATAAATCATTCCGTGGCAATTAGGTCAAATCAGAGGTCATTGTGTTAAATTTTAGATAATGAACAATTCATGGTGAAGTTATTTTCTGCAACAAAGAACGAAAAGCAAAATATTCTATCAGCTCCTGCTTGATTTGTGTATTGAGCGGGCATTGTGTCCTCATTTACATTAAACCGGCAGGATTCTGCCGGATTCATTACCCGCTACCGGTCCCAACGCTTGGAGGACGTCTGTAAGACGTCTGGAGACTATACACGGGACGGGAACCAGTCTACCGCGGCATAAAATACAGGAAGGTCTTGATTGGAACAAAGACTAGCACCGTTGGGATTTTAGGATTAGTATAGGTTGAAAGAGGAGAGAATACTCGAAAACTTAAGAAAAGATACGACTTCCGCTTGAAGTAAACATAATTAAGTAGCCCTTCCATCTGATAGTTTCAAGTTCGGGGCATTTCTTTCACAAAAAGCCCCAAATTGCGGGCCTATTTAGGATAGAGGCGGGCGGCTACATTCAGAAATGAGTGCTTAGTTTTACTGCTATTTTGGGGGTATCTTCGTTGAAAGGCAAATAAAAAAAAATTCGTGGCCAACCCCCATGAAATTGAAAAGAAAAGTGTATTCTTTCCATAATCTTGAATTTCTAGTGAAAAAACGAAGGCCAACCTCTTCACAAGAGTCAACAGGCGGCGCTGTTTCGGTCCGATTTTGAACAGTTGTTTATGGGATAGCATTTGGTGTAGTGCAACCTTAATACTAGTTTTGGTTGACATCATGCGTGTCGGACATAGTATTTAGTGTCGGTAGCGGTATCTATCATTCAAACATCAAAGTAAAACTCAAGTATTGACTGAGCAAATTGTCGATTCTTCAGTCAGAGTTGAGACTTAAATTCCCGGCTTCCGTGATCTATACGGGTGTCAACGAACCAGCCCGGCCAGCCCTGATAACAATGACACGGCGATCACAGACGCCCTGCCGCCAGCTACCCCCCCCCCCGACCCCAATGTGCCGCAGGAGGGTCTAGGATGGGCATACAGTTCCATAAGAGAAGAGTACACAATCAAACTTGACTTCTGGTTTGCGGTTTACTGAAACGGTAAACAAGGAAATGAAATCAACTCGATTGGTAAAATCAAGAACGGCTGGTACTTGAGCACGTTGCTGGGAAAGGCCACTAAAACTAGCTGAAAGCCGTACACAGACTAGTTTTTTTTAATCGTTTTCGTTGTAAGACCATTGGGCAAAGATTATTGTGGAGGACTTGAAGGTTGACAGCTTAGGGGAGGTAAACTTTTGTTTCTACTTGTTCCTGAGAGATGGGAGAAAGTTTGGCCTTTGTGTTGTTCAGCTTTCGAACATATTTGCCGATTTAGTTTGTAAATTCGTCAGTTAATGTATAAAAATAAAAGGTTTCGGCTGAATTGCTCCACGTTATTCTTCCCTGTTGATTCGGCTATTGCTCTATTTGTTTGTTTGTTTTTTTTATTGCTACTGTCTCTAAAACGACCGGGGCATTTGCTGACACGCATAAGTTCTACCTTTATTGTAAGAGCAGTGCAGCGAGTTGATGAGCATTTAATTAAAAGAAAAAAAATAAAAAGTATCCATATTTTAAAAGTGGCTGGACATTTTTAATTTATTAAGTTATTTTTTACATTTTTAAGTTATGGAGAACAGCACAGAGAGCTGAACAAAGTCGTTTTTGCCCCAAATTATTGTTCTCAGGGTTCACCAACGTAAGTAGGCCAGAAATATATCTGCCGAGCTCATTAATAAAAGTTATAGACTCAGAAGAGCCATGGAATTGGGGAGTTGGAACAATATGGCACTGAATCTCTGGCCTGGACTCAGGGCTTCCAATTCTGAGCAATTTGGTTGCAATCAGGTCCGAAAGTGGCACTATTTAGCTGTTTTGTAGAGGGATGCATTTTCAAAATAGCTACTTTTCTAGGCAGTGAAATTTCCGTTATTTTAGGGGTGGTCTGCTTTGGGTGAGAATTTCTCAAAAATTCATTGGTCAACCTACTAAAAATTGAGAGGAAAATGAAAGAGGACATGTCAAACATCATTTTTCTGTGCAGCCTGTGAGAGTTCTGAATATTTTTAAAATGTTTGCGAAATATGGGGACTTATCACTGCTGTCTATGGGAATTTATTTGCTGCGGTGCACCCCTCAGCAACTTTGAATATAGCGCCCTCTCCAGGTCTTTGTCTCATCTCGTTGTTCGTCTTTGTCTAAGTTTGCAAAGATTTGTAAAATTGGTCAAGGTTTTGCACGTCCACAATTCGTGACTTCATTTTCAACATTCTGTGTGCGCAAGAAAGACTCGTGTACGTGGGTATAATGTATTGAACAGGCTTGGATCCTGGTGTTTGGGAACCCCAAATGCTTTGTGATCCCTTCGCAAAATATTGGGAAAGGAATTAGCCAATAATATGCTTGGAGATAAAATGGCCAAAATGGACAAAAATTTAAACGTGGAATTCGCCTATATTATGCAAAAATTCTCATGGTATGTGTACACAAAGGCATTAATCCGTTTTGAAAAGGGGGGGGGACATGGCCCTGATCAGAACAAAATTTGAGCGTGAAGCGCGAAGCCCTGAGCAGCGTGGGGTCCGGGGCCCGCTCAGGGGCCCTGAAAGCTTTTGGAGCATAGGTGCTCTGTGGTGTGCTCTGAGACAATTTCTGACTACTTTAACCAGTCTCTTTAACAAATGCTTTTGCAAGGTATAAATTTTCATTTAGGCTTTGGAAAAAAGTGTGTGTGTGTGGGGGGGGGGAATTGACATAGTGTCTCCCCACCTAGAAGGGGGGGGACCTGTCCCCCGTCCCCCACCAACTGACGCCCATGTGTGTACATTTTAAAATAATGAATGGTTTTTGTCGTCAATACATTTCATGCATTGCAAAGGAGAATTTTGTGGTGAAACCAAACAAACGTGATAACGGTTTCTATTTCAAAATGAAAGAATAATTGTTGAAAATTCCGGTACCTCACCTTGTTCCCCTGGGCGACGCCAGCGGCGCCAGTCAGACATCAACACTCCCGAAAAATATTAATCCCCTAACTGACCCCCTTCTTTTCGTGTTTACATTTCGACTTAAGAGCGGTTAATCATTTACACCGCACGGTAGCGTTTCACACCATCCGCTCCGCACTGCCACAACAGCGGTAAGATCGACGCGTTCG